CACGCCTGTCTTATTTCACCCCTTACTGATCAGTGTCTTCGAACTTCCTAAGAAAACTTAGCTGAAATCCTTGTTTGGGGAAATACTTCTAACACGATTGCTTATGCACAGAGGTATAGAATAAGTGATTTTGAACAGATGGATGGGTGGATGGGTGAGTGGATACATGAAAAAGAGACTGCAAAATGGAATTCACGGTAGAATGATGTGTAACATTTCAAACTATTGCCACAAAAATAAAAGAGCTACATGCACATTCCAGTTGGGGCTACTTGGTTCATAGAAATCATAGCAACATAACAGGGTAGGTCTTCTGGTTTATAGAAATATAATACAGGATGTTTAAAAGCTAATAGTGTTTTTAGACCAGCTGCCCAATTTTTGATAAGTTCATAGATACCTGGCTTCAGCAGAGTTTCTACACTTGTTTTACTACAGTATTTAAAATACGAAAGTGTGCCATGCAAACTCATAAATAAAGCTCATAAATTCTGTTCAGTTGAAGGTGAGGTTAATAGTTGAAACAAGAACATTTTAGAAATGTATCTGGAAGTGAGAATTGGGCTGTAAGCGGATTCAGGTAGTGAGATTCAGAGTCACGGAAATGAGTGAGAACAAAAAGACGCTGCACTTCTGGCAGCTGATGTAACTGGTACATACGGCGCAGGAAGTACTGCTGGACATGTCTCAGGATGATGGTGGTATCCATGGAGAAGTCCACAGAGACTGTTAGGAACTGACTAGTGCTCCTAAGTCCGGGATCTTTCCTACTTTCAATAGATGTGAATATGGCTGCTAAACCACTCTGTGAGCCTCCTAAAAGCAGGAACCTCAACATCCAATGCCAGACTTACAAGCGGACTGTTCAAGGTGAATCATTCTTTGCCTTCCAGTGGGGTTAGTAGATGGCTTCTAAGTGACTTGAAATGCGTGAGAAATACGAGCAGTAGGCTTAACTTGCTGTTGTAATTAGTATTACTTGCAAAAGCGTAATCGTGTGAACTAGTAAATCACTGATCTCTCGGTAAAGTATTCTTTAAATTACGAAATAAGAGTATAAAAATTAACTGTTAGTCTAGGCTAGTAGTGTAATCTAGCTCTATACTTTTATTTATTTTATTTTACAGTACTGGGGATTGAACTCTGGGCCTAATGCATGCTAGGCAAGTGCGCTACCACTCAGATACACCTGCAGCCCTAGCCTGAAACATTTAAAATTAAAGATAATATGTCTAAAGTTCTGTAAATCGTTTAAAATTTTATATAAGGGAATATTAATATATTGCAGATTTTAAAATATTTGTGTTTTAACAAGTATTTCATGTAAAATTCAATTAAATATGTGGATGGAAAAAATGTTCAGAAATAATTTCCTGGAAAAGTTTAACTTCCCTTGTTGGATAGATTTGCTTTCTCTTCATGAAGATTGAGCAACGTGACATTTTAAAAGAATTTTGACCACCATAAAGCTCAAAATTGATAGGTAGCTCATTTTTTTTTTTTTTTAACCTGTGTGGAAAATTATGACTTGTAATCCACCTTTTACATTTTTCCTGGTCTTTAAAATCTGTTCTGACCTTGGGTTATAGAAAATATTTAATTTATATGTTATAATTACATGCACTTAGGGGACTTAGTTTTTTATATTGTTGTATTTTTCTCTTTTCACTGACGATCTTTGTAAGACATCACAAACTTTTTTTGGAAAATGGAGAAATAAATGCTTTCATCACAGTACTCTTCTTGTTTTTTCAAGGTCAAATGTTTGCAGAGAAGAGCAGCTGAGTCTGGTGGGACCCGATGGTCAAGCTTTGGAAACATGGCTGTACCCTCCCAGGGTGTGTATTGGTTATGAAAGAAGGTAAGGGTGATTTCTGTTACTTCTTGTGATCATTCAAAACCAAATGCAGAAGCCCCACCTACTTCAAATACTTCTTCCAGGAAATTTGAGGCATTAATTACCTAGTTAAGCAAAAGATCATAAAGAATACCATTCAGAATTTTCAGAATTATATATTTCTCTTCAGAAATAGAGTTTTTGATTATTTCCCTTTAGGCCACATGTATGTGTCAAGTATTTCAGGTTAAGTGTCCCTAATTTTACCCTATGACATGTATGTGTCAAGTTTTTCAGGTTAGGCGCACTAACTTTACCCTATGACATGTATGTGTCAAGTATTTCACGTTGGGTGTCCTAACTTTACCCTATGACATGTATGTGTCAAGGATTTCAGGTTGGGTGTCCTAACTTTACCCTATGACATGTATGTGTCAAGTATTTCACGTTAGGTGTCCCTAACTTTACCCTATGACATGTATGTGTCAAGTATTTCATGTTAGGCGTCCTAACTTTACCCTATGACATGTATGTGTCAAGTATTTCAGGTT